TTTATTTGGTGCATGTCAAGTTCACTTAATCTTACTTTTATTTCTTTTCACATTTTTTTTAGCTTTTGTGCTACTGGATGATTGTAAGTACTCCGTTTTATTTTATTTTAAACTGCTTTCTTGATATAAAAATTTGATTGCCCTATTACAAATAAACAATTGTAATTATAATTGCAAAGTTATTTTCGCCCTATGAACTTTTTAGACCCAATTGCATTGGATAGTCCCAATTATTTATTTGCTTTGCTACATTTGTTTTCAAGTTACTTTTACAACTTATACAGGAATACAGGAATAATTAGATCAGCTGGTTGTCGCCTGATTGAGAAAAAAAAAGATTTCTTGAAATTGTTTTGTGCTTTATATTTGAGCACATGGTACATGTAACCACTTAAACTATTCTCCACTCAAATTAATCACCGTAATCTTAGTTTTACTTGTTCTCATATTCTTAAGTGTTTTTGGCTTTAATTGTTTAGAAAGTGACAAAGAAATCTGGCTTCAACTTTGCGCCTTAATTTGTTCTTCTCGTAAAAATCTTCCCTGTACATTTAAAGTTCCTGTACGGCTTTCTCCCAGGCCTTTGCAGTAAGATCGATTTTCAGTAAAGTATCTCATGCAGTAAAGTATCTCACACGCGACTGCTCTCATGTGGCTTTGATAGCTCAGTTGGTAGAGCATTGCACCTGTAACGCAAAGGTCGTGGGTTCGAATCCTGTTCAGAGCCTGAAATTTTCTCAGGTCATTTTTCCAGTAGTGTCATGGCTGCATTTGCGTCTTTCATTCTTTCATTTAATTGTTACTGTTGGACATCTATTACTATCTCATTTAGGCCTAAGAAACAGACTATGCAAATGTCAGCTTCCGAACTGTGATTGGCGCGATTAGTCAGCACTTTTTTCATTAAGAAATCAATATGGTTGAAAAACTCTTGCGAAGAGAGAAAGGCAAACAAAAGCAGTTTGAATCGCAACTTAACACCAATATGTTCTGTTAGATACAGAATACTACCGTCTGTAATCCAAGTAGTGAGTTGATGGCAAAAAAAATACCAGTCAAGAAAAACAGAAATGAAAGTTGCAATAGTCTCCATACACACATTGATATATACTTTCTACTTGGAATCGATGGGGAAAGTTGGCAACAACAAAATTTGCAATGGTCAACCTTATCAAAGTGTAAATCAAAGGCCCTCATTTTAAAAACACTGCCTCCATGATCACAGTTAGTACCTCCTCCATTGCGTTATTTGAAACTAGGTGCTTATCAAAATGTCACCCTTTTCAACATGTAGTAAACTAATTTTTCACAATACATGGTATCCATGAAGATATATTAAAACAGAAGTCTAACTGTTCATTAAAAGTTTGTCTAAAATTCTAAAACGTTTACTCTTGTTACTACTTAGTAAATTTTAATCCCATAATTCGTAATCCCAATACTCCTCTTGTGCACTTCATCATTTTTTTTGAGGAGATGAGGGCTGGCTAATCACTTATTTGAAGCTCAGAGCCCTTGTTAATATTGTTTTCTCCTGCTGACACTATGCAGTCTCATTGAAGGCAATGTGCTCATAATTGAATATTTAAGTGGCAAGTGAAATTAAAATCAAGTCAATAAAATCAGCCATATTTCATCTCATATTTTCTTATAACAAAACAAACTTAAGGTTACTTCCCACCTTCAGAGGCCAAAAAAAATCGTTTTTTCTTTTATTTGACAAAATTTAAGTTCGTCATTTTATTTAGTGTTTCAAAAAGAAAAACACTAAAATTGTCAAAAAGCGGCTGAGCTATTTAGAAAAAGCGTATTTTCAAATAAAGTTGGTAAACTAGGAAGGTGTCACAATCTTGTCAACGGGCGAGAACCCTGGGGAAATTTTCACGGCAAACGATCA